TTAGTCGTCGTCTCTTCGTTAGTTTTACTACGGCTTTGTTTCTGCTCATCTGTGTACTCTATTTAGCGTTTAATATCCCCCAGAAACCAGTACTGAATGAAATTTGTTATTCGTACGTCGACGCATTTCGTACGCCAACGAGATATTTCAACCACTACACACGGTCTCCGTGTGCGCGACAACACACACCTTTGCACAAGCGTATCTACAGTGCTATTCTGCCCGCGCACACACGCTATACGCTATTAAAGATATAAAATATATCATTCCCCTCATAAGAGAGAGAAATTCAGGGTGAATTGGGAGAAATTATAAGCGAACATGAGAAGATATTGGAATTCGAACTCTTATTAGGTATTAAGCAGCATTGCGTTGCCAACTCTAGGCACAATAACTTGCTTGCCTTGTTACATTATGAATAACCGTCACTGTGGACTTAATAATAGCATAGTTTAATTACAAAGTTGTGTCGATTAAACAGAAAGTGTTTTAACTTGTAAGGATAATATCAACAATTTCGTTTTGATTTTATGATGCAAATGCCTATTTGCCAATATTCTAACCAATAAAGACAGAGTGACAGCTGATTTCGAATTGGTTGTAAATCACACAAAATCATCAAAATGTAAACAAGAAATTGACATACAATGTAGACTGAAAAATATGTTCGTAAGAAACATGCTGTTTCTAAAGTAACTCAATATTATATATATATACAAAATATAAACATGYTTATTTGTATTCAAATAAACATATTTATATAATAAGAAAGCAACCTATTGAATTTGTCAAAATATGTATTTCAAGCGAAAAATCCAACAGTCTATCAATGAGCAACTTAAATAATAATAATTCGCAATCTAAAATAGCAGACATTGGCAACGCGAAACTTCGTTAAATACTCCCAATTCACTTTTAATTGTGTTAATTCTCTTACGCTATGGAAAATCTCTTCTATTCGCGATTTATTTGTTCGTTTGCTCGTTCTCCACATGCGCATACATATGTCAAGCATGTGTTTTGCCACTGTTGGCATTCTTTTAGAGAAACGTAAAAATGCAGCAATACAGAAAAGCCAACAACCGCTGCTGCTGCTGGTGCTGCTGCTGCGAAGCGACTTTTTGCTTTTTACGCTGTGACCGACCAATCAACCGAAAGGCCAACAAAACGGCAAAACAGCACAGTCGACGAACGAAATAAACGAAGGCGTAATACATAATGAGCAGAGCAAACTCAGCGCCAGCTTAATGAGAAGAACAAACAACAAAAACAAACTATATCACATACCAAAGTGCAGGAAAAAGAACGTAGCAAAATTAAATGCACACACACATATAAAGCTAATAACATTAGCAGAGGCGTTACACCTATATACTTAAGGGGATCTAAAGGGTTTGCTTGTATAGCTCTGTTTCGTGATCAATCTAATTAAAGTGGACTGCATTGAAGATGAACAGTATTAAGACATAAAGTGTAGTATGTTACATATTAATTATTTTATTTTTTGAGGCTACAGGTGAATAATAGATACGATATATGTATACATAAGCAAATAGATATTTATATCTACACTATAGATTGTACAGAGGCAGGTGTAAACAAATAAACTACAAACCAAAAACAGAATGAATTAATAAAACAAAGTAAGAAGGCAGCGTGCGTAAGTTAGGTGTTGCATTCGCGACTGTTTAGTATTTGCTGATCTATATTTTCAGATTTAAAGCAAAGACCTCAAATTATAAACAAATAAATGTTCAGTATGATAAATCAAATCAAGGAGACTGTGCGAAAAGATGCAATAATTAAATTGGTTTAAATTTTAGAAAAATAAAAACTTTCCCGGAAAGGATTTTAACTTACAATTCAATTGCCTACATTTTTAACACAAATATAAAGATGAAATCAAATACTAAATTTGTGTTTTATATTTTTTAATACATACAGTTTTCAAAATTTAAACACTATACAATTAAGGTTTTTGTTTAAGGCGGCTTTCTTCATGGGAAGCTATTGTATCTTCCTTTCGCATATATTTAACCGCCTATCACATAATGAATTTGAACTAAAAGCCACTGAAAACCCGCAAATGAGAATAAAGTTTCAATTTTTTTCTGTCTTTCCTTCCTTGAGGCGCTTGCGTTCGCACTTTCTTTTTATTAGGGTGGCATTTGATACGATATACAAAGAGTATGAAGCAGACAAATGGCAAGTAGTATACACAAATGTACATTTTGCATGTACAGATGTTAGTAGTTCCTGCCAGTACGTCGAGCATTTTCCGCAAAGCCAAATAAAGCGTTAATGCCGCTGTACATATTTACGGCAAGTGAAAAAGTATTACATTGTAAGACATGATTGCACGATATTTATGGCACTTACAGATATGTATACCTATAATAACTCATAGGAAGGTGTCAAAATATAGAGGACACTAGTAAGGAGCGGCAAAAATGTATAGAAAAGTTAACTTACATTTTCTTGCTAGATGCTTGAGCACGACGTGAACTACTGCTACTTTGGCAAAGTCGATCCGTACTTATTCGCTGTTCCGACACAAGTTTTTCCTTTAAGCATTTATTTGCGAATAGATAGGTTTTCAACGACCTTGGTAATGCTTTTGAGATATATTACAATGAAATTTTGTAATGTCCAATTTGTAAATGGTGTAAACGCGCACGCACTTCCTTTTGCTTTCTGATGTTAGTTTCTGAACAGCGCGCACTGTTGGTATATACACATAATAAATTGCGTAGCGAATTTTTTCGTTTCGTGTTCTGTTATTACTTCAAATTTTTGGAATTGAATTTTCACAGCACAAGTAGTTTATGTATTTCTTTTTGGTATGTGTTTCGCTTGCTTTACACTTTGCAATTTTATGTATATTAATATTTATTTTACCGATATTCTTCACATATCTGAATCTTGATTTTTTCTGTATAAAATAAATTTCAGTATCTGTATTGTGATATACACCTTCCAACTTTTTCGCTGCGCTTATTTGCTGTCGCTGTCGTTGTGACTGACTGTGGCAATCAGCCAATATTTCTACCAACTAGCAATGAAGTTGAATTTTTTGAATTTCCTCTCCACTAATGAAGCGATTGGCCAAGAGCTGCAGCAACAAACACGTCCAGCCTAAATGAATGTTCGAACCAAACAACTAACGAGCGTCGTGAAAAACTGAACGGAGCCGTAGTCGTAACCGTTGAAGACAAAAGTCCGCAGCCGACAGCACAGCCAGCAAAGCCGCTGAGACAATTTCTCTTTGGTTTACTGATGAGAAACCATTTCAAATCTTGTGGGGTAAAGGTGAACGAACAAAAGAGAGGAGAAGAAATATGTAAACATAAAAGACTTGAAAGTGCATGTGTGATGTTTGATGCCACTAATTTTGTTCGAACAGCTTTTATATGTAGGTATTAATTGCAAATGCGAATATTGTTTGGTTTGTAAATTCGGATCCGGATGTTTGTATCTAATAATCTGGTAAAACTTTCTTATTGGAAAAATATGCCATATTTATTCATGAACTAATTATGGAAATATTTAGGCCACAGCGTAACAAAAAATAGTAACAATTGAAATATTTAATTCTTGAGTATTTTGGAATCATTATACTATTGTAGAAACCAAACCAAACCCGGAGTATTTGCAACCAAAATTACTATTCTATAAGACTAGCACTAAAACCACTCTATGTCCATTTGGAAAACTGAAATGCCTGTCGGCAACCTTAGGAAAAATTAAACCAATATGTAAACGGTTTCAACCAGCTTAATGTGTATATCGTCTTCAGGTTTTAACTTCATATTAATATATACTAAGATTATTAATACAATACCTGAATCAGACATTCAACTAGTCTGACTCTTAAGCATATACATATGTATGTGTGGATTTCACCAAAGCGATTACGATTAAACATATTACATATTTTGTATGGCCGGGCCATGGTCTTATGTATAATGGAGTCCAATTATCTTGTATATATAATCGAGTCGGTCGTCCATTTCATTGCTCAAAGCCTAATTTTCATTTCATCAATTAAAAACGCTCACCATTGCAATGCAACACTCGCACAAGCTCTTGTCAGCTGCAAGAAGAGGTGGAAAGGGCAACTGGTTACGTTCATAGCCATGAGAGATAGTTTCCGTACAGGCAATAAGTAAGAGGAAATCAAAAGAGACTTGAATATACAAATTCGCGATCTATTTAGCATGCAGCCTTGGAGGAGTTGGGGGGCGGGGCGATCAACAAGCAACGGTTGCATAGTATGCAGAAATTAATGAATGAATTAAAATGACTGTATTAGCTCACAGTCAATGTGCAAACATATGTGTGTATATGTGGGTGGTGGCAGTATACTACAAGCTCTCGCCTAAGATGCACCATCCAGTAGCGGGGCAGTGGAGAAGCGTCAATGCATCCTCATATGTAAATAATGATGCAGTTGTGTTGGAATCGCATATGTATTGTTAGCGAATGCTTATAAACGTGTCGTTGAATGCGTAAATACTTAGCATTTTTCTCTCAAACTGATGAGTGGTCGAATGAAAGGAACGGAGATGCTGTGTCAGGGCACAACGTCTGTCTGCATTTTTTTTTTTTTTTTACTGATAAACGGAAATGGCACTTATGGATGGTTCCCTCGCTAACGCCACTACTATCTTCGTCGCTATAGCCAACAAGTTAATGTAAAGCATTTCGATTTGTTATTTAGGGCGCGTCAGAGGTGAATTTGCAAGTATGTCCGCGGAAAACGAGTCTCCTTCCTGTCAGCTTATTTGCAGACAGCCCTACGTACAGAGTATTTTAATGAAAAGTAAATTTAAGTACATACATATACATATAAAATAGTTTTCAAACATAACGAATTTTTGTATTACCTATTTCATCATTTCTTAACAATTTTATTATAAATTTTGAGATACAAAATGCAAGGAACTCGAAATTCTTATAAAGCTAAAATATTCAACAAGATAACATCGTAAACAACTTACCGTGTTCATAATCAGTTCCTTTTCAGAATAGCTTTATTTTAAAGCAGCAACAACGCACTCAAGTACTGCTCCAGCACAGCTTGTGCCAAAACAGCTCCATTTTCTACAGCCAAAGAGTATGCGGTATCGCCATTCTCATTGGTTGCCGTCATATCCGGATCTTTGGCTAACAATTCGTTGCAGGTATGTGGGTGATTTCCAGCAGCGGCATACATTAACGCCGTATTACCGACAATATCCATATGTGTAGGACGAGCACCATGTTCCAGCAACAAACGCACCACCTCATTGTGACCACCGCATGCTGCAAGCAAAAGTGGTGTTACCATTTCAGGTGCTTCGACATTCACATCAGCACCAGAATCGACAAGTAAGCGTACTGCAGCTAGCTGACCGTAGTATGATGCCCAATGTAGAGCAGTAAATCCAGTAGCATCTTTGAAATCAATATTGCGATCATTACGCTCGAATTCTATACGCACTTGATCATCGGTGATCTCACCTTGACCGGCACGTTCGTGGAATGACAATGCTACTTCCACTGGGCAAAAGGTTGCTTCAGTATTGCCGCGTTGCAAGTTTGTAAGCACAGTGGCATGTGGACGATATGGTAGAAACGCACTTTTGCGCTTTGAGGCTCCACCACTAACTCCACCGGCGCTGGAATGCAATGAGGTGGGTGTAGATAACGGGATATTTGGATTTGGTGAAGGTGTGTCCGCATTTAGTTGTAAATGCCATTTCGATCTACAACATAAAAAGATTTCAGAATTTCTCCAAACTTTTTATATATTCTGAACTTTATAAAGTTGTTCCAGATATCTTATTCAAATGCTCAAGACATATTTCGAGGGAAATGTTTTTACAATTTCCTCGAAGTTATGCTATTAATTATTAAATACAAATAGTTGGCAACACTTCCTCACATAAGTATTTACATAACAGTATATATTCATCAACATTTGCGGATCAATGCTCATCAACGCTTTCTGCTTAAAATTAAAAAAAAGAAATCATGACATAAAATAAATATATTAACAAACCTTTACTTTATTACTTCACATTATAATTTTTTGGTTAGAAAAGCTACTAAAAAAAAAAAACAAAATAATTGGTTGCCTCTACTGTCTTTAGCGGCAAAGTTTTAATTTGCGGTGAGAGCACCTATCGTTCTCCTTTAGTTCAAACAAACCCCTTATACGGTGAGCAATACAATTTCCCCAACTTACCGGCTTTGTTCGTCATCAGAATTCGAATTGGTCGCAGGCGAATTGGCCGCTGAAGACATGTTCAAGTGTAGGTCTGTACTGTTTCGATTCCCCGCTGTTATATTTGGGATTTTCCGTCTTTTTCACACTTTTGCACACAAAAGCGCCGACAATTCGAAATTACCAGGCAGATTGGGCTATCTTTTCGAACTTAAATGTGAATGAACTGCAAAGAATGGGAAACAATCAGATGAAAAATACAAACTGGAAGCACTATGAAAGAGAAAAACAAACATATAAAGGAAATGCAAGAACGGAAGATGAGCAAAATAGCATTAAAAGGGAGAATGTGATGTCTTTCAAGTACGTCAATAAACTGCGCGCCATTTTTCGCCACTTTAGCCCACAATTCACTCCAAAAAAATCATGTATGACCATATAAACTTTTCGGTACAACTTTCCACAATGCATATGAATTAACAAAAACTATTAACACATTTATATCATAACATATATGGTAACATTTGTATCAGCTATAAGCAAAGCCGTTGTAGCTAGCGAAAAATCCGAACACGATGCCATGGATGAACACTCCCCGCCCATAACCGGCATCAAACAGAAAAACGCAGTTTGTAAAAGCACTTTATTCTAATACAAATGAATTCAGTTCACAACGGATACCTTTTGCTCATAGGTTGACAATTTACAAACTTTTGTAATTTCACTTATTTGTAGTGTATACTCACCAGAATTTAATTGAGAAATCTGTAGTATTCGCCGACGTAGCTGTTGTCTGAGCGCACGGAAGAGAAAATGTGCAGAGGCAAATTGGAAAAAATGTGGAAATCTTCATTTTCCATTTGGATTGTGGATGAATGAAATGGAAACTATTTTGACCGATTCTAGCGGAGACAAACACTTTTTGCATGAATACTACAAAGACCGTAATCTAAAGAACACAGTCCACTTTTTTATACGTTCTTACTGACATTTCATTTAAAGAGAACGTACGCTCTTGCCATTATTGCCAGACTTAAACGTAGAAATGTGGCATTCCACAATTGCCATCAGCTGTTCGTACGTCAAAAGTAGAATTGTACAACCGTGGAAGCAATTTAGTAGACGATATTTACGAGGCCTTTTAAAACATAAATTTTAAGAAGTGTTTTCTTAAAAATGTCGGTACCGTTTACCGTGCGGACGCACTCACGCCAAGTATGCAGTCTATACAAGAGAGCACTACGTAATCTGGAAGCGTGGTATGACCGCAAGTATGTTTGGTCCCCAATCAAGAATATCCAAAACAATATTATGTAATTTACTATATTTTTTAATTTCCTTTAACATTACTCTACTTCTCAGAAATATTTTCCGGTATAGAGCGGTGTTACTGCGCCAACGATTTGACAAAAATCGTAGTATCACTGACATGGCGGAAGCCTCTCGCTTACTAGCTGCTGGCGAACAAGAATTGTTCGAGACCAAACATTTCCAGCCTAGAACCTGTAAGCGACATGTACATATAGTAGTCGATATTTATAAGTAAGGTATAATTTTTATTTTGTTTATGCAGTTGCTAACAGTGCTGGTGGCTGCGCCTTTGAACGAGAGGTAATACCACCAGATTGGGTTATCGACTATTGGCATCCCTTGGAGAAAGCACAGTATCCAGAATATTTTGCCAAGCGAGAACAACGCAAAATAGAATTCGTTGCTTGGTGGGAAAAGCAATACGGCAAACCAGATCCAAAGGACTTAGGTCACCATTAAAGAAGCATTGCATTAAATCTTGAGCGCAAAAAAAAAAAAAACGAAAGGCTCATTTAATAAGTACCGAAATACCGAAATATAAACTGCAGATGGGAATATAAGTATAGCAAATAAAAAATGCTAAAACTAAATTGTTTCTTCATTATAAGATGATAATTAATAGTATGACTAGCATTTGGTGGTTTAGATAAATTGTTGAAAATGCGAACTTTAATAGTGGAATAACATGTAACCGGCAGACAAATTCCTCGAATATCGACTCAATGTACAAAAATAATTCAGAATGATTAGGACCACACTCTTACAAATTAAGTCCTTGTAAAATACGATACATTTTATTCACTCATGAAGACGATCTGCAACTATTCAATCTTAAATCTTTGCAGAATACGATACATTTTATATAGTCAGGAAGACGACCTCCTACTACTCAATCACAATCAAATAAATAAATTTCAAATAAAACTGGTTAATGCGTGCATGTGTGAATTTATTTTTTAGTACAAGTTATTTCCAAGTTTCCGTTAATGTGAGTTGCGACTTACAAAATTGCTTATATTCAAATATTTAGAAAATAATATCTTAACAACTAATGTGTAATGGCTAGGCGCATATTTGCACCATATTTAACAAGCTGCAGACTATTGTGTGTGTTTGTACAGAACCCGTTTTTACGAGGGTTTTAAAATCATTCATGAATATATTTATTTAGGGTTTATGTTGCCGATTATAATTCGTTGATTTTGTACAGCACTAAGGGGGATGCTATACAAACATATAATTTTAAAACCAAAAATTTCTTGGTGTTGTTTTAATAAAAAAACAAAAAATAATTAAATTTTCAGTAAATTATAACAAGTTGTCATACTTTTAAGCGCATCCCAGACACAATTTGATTATTCGTGCTGCGCTCGATGCCCCGCCCACTTCACAGCTGACAATCCAAAGTGTTTTAAACAAGTTGGTTTATATCCAATCGTGGACGTTTTTTACAACTGTTGTTCGCTGTGCCATTTCCTACGTTTGCATCGCCGTTAGTGTGATCACGTTTCCGAGGTAATGTCTTTTTATCCCATTGTTGTTTAAGATATCTCAGTAATACGCAACGTTTATCCATCACAATGTGCTGCTCCGATGGCACATCTTCTGTAGGTAGATATACGGAAGGCCTTTTCTGTGATGTACGAAGTCCTTGTTCCATATTAAATTGCGAAAAGTTTTGTGCATTGTGACTGGGAAGGTCCTTGAGAAATTCTGCAACAGACATCTTACTTCTTTGGCAAATGGAAGTGTTTCGTTATCCAAGACGAAGCAGTTAGTGTAAATGCAACTGGGCGGGTAGAAGAGAAGATAATAATTTTATAGATACTAGTCGAACTTTCGTTTTCGCGTGCTTTTTATTCACTGTTGTGTCTTTGCGTTCAACCACGCAGTATTGTTGTTGCAATAGCAACTCGCCAATTTCGTGCTCGAGAGTATTCGTTTAAAGTTATTTATCAAAATGCTAATTTGTAAATTAGTATACAAAAAACAGAATTGCGTTAGTTTACGAAACAATTAACAATTTTTTATTTATATGTCTGAACTCTACAAATTTTAGATTTTTGTGCGAATGCCAATATCTGATTTATTGTTGTTCTTGCGATTCCGTCATTTGACACAGATATGTAATAAAACACAGGGATGTTAACGAAAAACCAATGTTGCATTCTCAAGTTTTTGTTAGCAAATAAAAAAAAAATACCAAATAAATATTTACTTAATTTTTAATGCAGTCAATATTTTATTAAGGTTTTAAGTTTTTATGAAATAGTTATAAAGTACTTTAATACATTAGTTTCACGTGGTAGCAAATAAGTACAATAAATTTTTGGCAAATTGTATAATTTCTGTGCCACCTAATTTCGAAGAACCATACAAACGATCCACGAACGTTATTGGCACTTCTCCAATGCTGTAACCGTGCTGACGTGCGCGTACCAACATTTCCATTTGGAAAACGTATCCTTTCGAAACACAACTGGCAATGCATTTCTCCAGCACATTCTTTTTGTATAAACGAAAAGACCCTGTCAGATCTGAAGCATTTGGACGCAGTAAAATTTGCGAAAGAAAATTAGCTCCACGCGAAATTAGCTTGCGCTTGAAATCCCAGCCAAAAACACCACCATCCCCGCTGTACCTTGTGCCAGATACTACGTCGTAGTCTTCTTTCGCTTGTAGTTCAATGAACTTTGGAATGAATTTAGGCTATAGATGAGAAATTAGTCTAGGCTGAACTAATTTTTATAAAAACGCAATACTCACATGATGACTTAAGTCTGCATCCATTATGATAATAAAATCACCTGTAGCATGTTTTATGCCGTGTATATATGCAGTACCCAGGCCCAGTTTAGACCCCCGTGGTCGAAGCACTATGGTCTCTTCACCATAGATTTTCTGCAAATCTTTAGCAACATCTAATGTACCATCGGGACTGCCATCATCAATAATAATAATTTCGTATTTATGGCCACTGGAAGCAAGGCAAATGTACAACTTATTAGTATTTACATTGTACAGCACTTACCTTTCACCAAGATATTTCACGATTAGCCATATTATAATTGGCAAGTTTTCTTTTTCATTGTATGTGGGAAGCAATATGCTATATTTATGTCCACTTGTAGACATAATATTGCAGTAGTTAAATTATAATTAATATTGATATTTTGATAGGCAGTTAATAGAATTAAAGGTAAACTACTCCGCCGGCTGACGTGTTCTAAGAATGTCAAATGAGTGGCGTTGCCAACAAAAGCAATTCTCGAGTAAACATTAAAATTGTATTAAATATAAAAATGTTTTGTGAATTAAAAATTATAATAATTGAAAGCAATTATTTATCTGAAATAAGTGCTAGCTTATAAATTTGAATCTTAATCCATAATAGTAGAAATATCACTTAAAAGGTACTCATTCATATGTGTGCATACACAAACACACCCCAATACCAAACGTGTAGCAAAACACCGCCAACGTAAACAAAAGCAGCTGTTTGTGACAATACGCAAATCACGCATGCGTTAATTTTGTTGTTACGCGAAAGTCATGCGTGCCTTTTGACGGTAAAGGAATATTAACAGTTCGACGGACACAAACTGGTAGTTGCATTTGGAACGGTTACGTATTAATACCTTCGGAACAGTCGAAATTAGTGGAAAAGTGTACTTAAATGGGTGCAGGGTGAAACTCCAGCAGTAGGCTTTAAAAGATCTCAAAAAAAAAAAAAATAACAACTAAATTTAAAATAACAGCAAATATGTGAACAAATAGTTTAGCAATAGACAAAGTGCATTTAAAAAAGTGGGACTCATAGAAAGCAACCTCCAACTATTAAATATAATTATAATCCTTACACATTTCAGCATCTTTTCATTGAGCGACGAATATGGCCAAAAAGATCCCATTCAATGTTGTTTTCGCCTCCGGTGAGTACTACAAATTAACTGAGGAAGCGCTTGGTTAGCTTATTACGGTAAAAAAAAAGGTACGCATTTAATTGCTCAGCTTTTATGTGGAAAATTCCCTTAGATGAATTCCGCAATGCGTAATCATTTGGTTATGAGTATGGCAGCGTGTAGCTCGTAACTGGAGAAATCGATAAATCACGCCTTCCTGCCCCAACTGCCATTATTCAGGCTACAGCCAGCCAGCCGCTGCACTTATTTACACACAAAGAGTTTTTACGCCTTCATTTGGTACTTGATAATGCATTATTGCACTTCGCAATGATTTTATGCAACGATTTTTAAATTGTAATGCTTGAGATTAGCACATAGATGGCTATGTATATATGTACATATGTTTGTGCACTGGCTGTATTAATAATTATGCTCACTGGTTCAAGTCCTTACACTCGCAGAAATTTATTACTTTATCTATGAGACGCATTAACACTTCGCCACTGAAGTTCCGTGACACACAAACTTACATATGTACGTATGAGTATGTATGTCCATATGTATATACTCGTGCATGTAAGCACGTAAACATGTGTGTTGCAATTGCCATTTCATTTGTAGTCTTGTATGTGCACACCTGGCGCTTGTCTTGCACCTGGACATTTGTATCCTTAGTAATCGTGCTGCGTAAATAATTTAGCTGGTCTTTGTGTGCTCCGGTTAGTACTTTTACTGTGCAGACATTTTGATTAGGTATTATGACAGTTCGATCCATTCAGAAATGCACCTACATACGTAATGTACATACATATGTAATATATAAATAAATTAGTAATTTTATTACAGAAAGCGAGCCTTAGGTCAACATTTAAGTTTTAATTAGCTCAATGCCAACGATCAAAAGCAAGATCTTGTATGGAAAACTTTTTTATTTGAAAATAAATCGTAATGGAATTTGATGTGAACTATTGTCTAAGGTAACAGTACAATTTACGAAAAAATTGCTTAGATCCGACCACTATAGCATTTAGCTGCCATACAAATAAGTTGTTATATGGCAAGGTAACCTCATGAAATTAGGCATCGATTATTGTAAAATGTAGCCCTTTAATCTCCGAGCAATTTGTTCGCTCTCGCTACTTCCATAAACATCAGTTTTGATCGATAAAACATTTTGCAAATAACACACCAAGTCCTCAACATAATAAATATTAACTATTTCCTACCTCCTATGAAATGGGAATTTTATTGCCTTTCCGACGGCCCCTTCCGTTACATGAACGTTGCACTTAGTGGTAAATTAAATAAAATGTATAAAATAATATGTCACACATAACGGTAATAAATGTAAGTGCTTTAGGTAGCGGCAGACATGCAATCGAGCACCACTTGTCCGCCTAACGATGCTTGATATATGCACCTACATAGTTGGCAATTAGTGGGCTAGGTTATTGTTTGGTCGCCTGCTGTGCGGTGGCTGCCTTGCTTGCCCATTTGTGTTCGATTGAAAGCGCGACCAAAGCAAAGCACTCTCGTCAAAGCACACGTGCTTGTGTGTATGTGTGTGTCGAAAGTATTTGCATTTATTTTGATTACTATCTACAAAAACACGTGTATTTCCATATACTAATACAGGAATGTGTGTGATTTTTTGTGGTAGCCTCATAATAAAAAAATTGAAATGCAGGCTCAAATTGACCGCTTAATGCACTCTTTAACGTAATGATGTAATAAGATAATATTTTAATTTTTAATTGAAAACATTAAGCTGGCATTAGCCGTTATTAACATCCCATTTGTTGGCGATTCATTGTTCACAGTAATTGTGTGTGGGGCGTAGCATACTTCTTGGCGTGAATGCACAGTCACTGCTGTAGGCAACCGTACAAGGCCGCTGAGTTGCGCTCAAGGCCTTCCATTGTGGATTTGTAAATGCATTTCGTTGAGTATGCATGCTGCAATCAGCAATGTTGGCACAACTTGTATATGTTTTTTTCTTTTCATTTCATTTGTGGATTGTTGCAGTTAATCAAGATTTTTTACTCCGCCCAAATTATGATGGGTCTTCATAGTTTAAGAATTTATACATTTTCTAACAAAGATCACTCCTTTTCAGGTTGGGTCAAGCCTTCATATACACCATTAACTGGAGCAAGCTTGTCATAAATATTTGTTGGTCGATTTTTAGTCTAAATGAAAATAATATTCAAATATATCGCCCAACTTTTTATACCGCAATCGTGATTTGCGTAAAAAATTGTCAAAAAAAAAAAAAAGTACAGTTATCTCGTTTATGTGCACGCGGCAAAAACGAAACTGCATAGTATAGTGTATATGAAGAAGTTAGTTTGGCACTTAAAGCCCATATATTTGTAATGCCTCTGCTCGCACTCGCCACTCCCTTTCTATCCACTCCGCGACCACAAATGCCAACTTTTCATATCGCAGATGACTACTTGTGTGCACACACAGCGCATTTGATGCCGAAAATGCCGCAAAATATGCAATAAAACTGCGCTTTAATTTTGCACTTAGAAATGCTCTATATATTGCTATATTTTTATATGAATGCGTGTGACTCTTTATACAGATTTCCCTTGAAGCCGCTTGTTTACGCCTCAAATCATGCAGCAGACAGCTTTTTAAACCGAAACTGCTGCAGCAGTTGCGGCGCTTTGCTTTTTTAACATTTTCTGCACACACACACACAGACACACATAGTCTAAATCGTTATTTTACCGTTAGTTTTTTTTATAGAATAGTTATATCATTGAATTCATCTATGTATGTGCATAACGGTCCGTTGAGCGGAAATCTTGTATTGCTCTGCAAGAGTTCATTGTCTGTGCCTACAATCAGGAGTTTCCTGCCTGCATTGAAGGAAATGTTATGGTATGTAATATATAATTATTTGAAAAAATGTGCATACTATATGCATTTATACTAGTTTGTCGCAGATATTTTGAAATGAAAGGAGCATTTTTGCGTAGAGAAAGTGCAGCGATCTCTTTTATCGTTTTTATCGTTTGCATGTAATGTGTATTTGACAAGTCTGCCTGGAGGTAGGCCAAGTTTTTCTCAGCGGTGATTTCGACTAACGTTTGTTTATAAAATCATATATACAAGCAGCTTGCATGCAGAAATTCATTTGTAATAAACAGTTCCTTCACCTTCGTGGCAACTTTTACTAGCGCTACATAAATTTAAGGTGGTTTCGATTTATAAGAGACGATTATTGTAGAAAAAACTTGTTTGTCGATGCGACAGAGAATGTATAATAATTCCTTTATGTTCTCTCAAAAAAGTAGATATCGAATCGAAGTTATCAGAAACCTTTTACTTCAAACTGACCTCATCGATAATAACAAAAGTCTCACTTGGACAGCTTAGAACTTACATAGGTCTGTTGTGATATCTAAAACACCTATATAATACTTGTACATATAACTTACATATTGACAAAGCGCTTAAGGCTTATCACAAATTTGTTGGGAGGGCTGATGGTTGGTACCCGCTTTATCTTCTGGTTCGCCGAAGGTAAGACTGTCAGGCAATAGCTGGGCAATAGAAAATAGTGATTGGATGCTTCCACCTCAGCCCCCCAAACAACCTTGACAACTAGCGTCGTCAATATTTTTAACCTAACCGCATGAATGCCTGCTAAGATTGGGGGAGAGCTCCGTACAGAAAAGTCCACGTACGATCCATACATGAAAAGCTCATTGCGTCTGTGGTTGTTGTCGTTATTGTAACGGGTACCTAAACATCGTTAGGATGGTAAGGGTTAGATAAGTTGTCGTTGACGTCATTCATCGGTAGGCCCAGTTAACGTGCTGTTTCGACGGACGAAAGAGAGAAGGGTGTCGGATGAGTGGAGTAACCAGGGCATGCAAAGAGGGGGCCAGTGTCATGCCTGGACTCATTGCACGCTGAACATTCATTAGACATGTCGCGGTCTATTTTGGATAAGTAGCAGCGAAGCTGCGCAAGGGTCACTCTCGGTTCTCGTGGCAACTCCAGGTCTTCGTCTGCAATGGGTGGTGGTTTGACTCTAAGTACGCCATTGACTGGAAGGGAGTCGGTGAAGGTGTTGATGGCTCTACTCTGAATGGCGGTCAGTACTTTTCGGAAGTTAGGTGCGTCCGAAGTCTGGTCGGCGTATTGTTTGATGTCGTCGACGTAGTTAAGGAATGACCTCTTGATGCTCCTAAAAGGCGGTTCCAATCCAAGCAAGTGGCTGTAGGGATGTTTTTTGCGAAAACTGGAGTGCAGGTACTGCTTACTGCTTGGGGAGGAGTTCATTTTTCTTTTTAACTGGGAGTATACGGACCTCACTATGCAGGTGTTCCATGGGAGACATCAAAATGCATCCTGCCATAGTTCGGAGTGCGGTGTTCCGGCAAGTTTGGAGGTTCCTCGTCTGCGTGATCCAAGTTTCCAGGCATGCACTGACCCCCTGAAGCCTTAGAGAGCAGTTCTTCACACTCTGTTCATATAGAATTAATATAAAGATTTTCGACCAAGGCTGCCATTAAATATAAGCGTTTATTAATCACCATAATTTTAACTTATTTGTATAGTTATTGGCAAGGCTGAATAACGGAAGTAAAATTAATTAAAGAACAACAAATTTACTAATTACCGTCAAATAAACTATGACTTAAGCATACTGAGTACCAGCAAGTGGGTAAATACTTATAAATGCTGTTTCCGATATCTAAGTTTACCTAAGAAGGAACGCATCGGCGCAATCATGGTGAAGATATACACCAAAACCGTCGCCAAACTTAAGACTACAATAAATTCCGGATCCATATATTTATAAGTGAACTTTGTGCGGTAGCCAAGGAAGATGGCCAACATGCCCAGCGTAAAGGCGACCATGCCAGATAAATTGTGTCTGAATTTCAACACTGCCGGTGGATGCGATTTCTGTATGAACTTTGGTTGAAAATAAGTGGCGGTGCCGCCGATAAGATTCACGAAGCAGAGCAATGTGGCAGCAAGACCTGGAAATTGCAAAGGATTCGTGGAATGTTTACTTCTCCGTGGCGCTATTGAGCAGTTATTTTGTGTATGTGTGTGTGTTGGTCGCTTATTAGTTGCAACCTTGACTTGACTTACCTATTTTGCCATGCCACGTGGTGAAGTGCACTTCCGTCTGCGAGATTTTACCAATGGAGCCCAGCAGAGCCATCGCACCGCCCAACAATTGTATGACACCGTGAATTTTTGATTTAGTACGGTGAGTGAAACGATTCGTTACGAAGTTGATTGGATAATGTGACATCAGCGCTTCGGCCATCAGGACATGGTACTATTTTTATGGTTGTGTAAAATATTTATGTAAGAAGGGTTGGAAGTGTTAGTAAAAGCTATTTAAAAATTTAGTTTTTTTTGAGCTTAATCTTTTTAATACATTGTTAGATGGTTTTTAAAAGTTTTTACGCTTTCTCATTAATTAATTTTTGTTTTACTTTTACATCTGCAGTAGTAGTGTAGATGTTACATGGATAGTAAATAGTACTTAAGACTGCCATGAAAATAATTGAAGGCCTTTGCATTAAAATGTCAGATGTGTGTATATTAGACTTAATAAACCTATCGTCCATTGAATGCTTGTTAAAGCTCTTTTACATACCCATTTAACAAAAAAAAGTTCTCAAACTCAAAGTAATGCCCTCTTTTCTAAAGCTTCCCCCAAAATTAGGTAGTATGAGTAGTGCTTATTATTGTTCTCTTCCAAAGAAACGAGGACCACTGATCCAGTAAACAAAATTCATTAGTTTTGCATTGAATTGAACGTTTAATCTAGAATTATAGGGTAGTCGAAAAGTATTTTCGTATTTCTAATCAAACTTCAACTTTTTTTTATATTTATATTCGAACTTTAATGAACCAATTATGTACCATTTTGATCGACCACTTTTTTTCAACTTTTCGCTTGAGACATTATTCCATCAGTGATAAATTCTTTTGATTTCTCGGCTAAAACCTTCGACAAGTAATTTTCACAGGCTTCTCTTGAAGCTAGCTTTACTCTTAAGGGCGTTCTGCATGACCGAAACAAATGGTAGTCCGCGATGGTGCAAGGCCACGGCTATATGGTGGATGCATCAAAACTTCCCAGCCAAACTATTCCAGTTATTGCCCAGTCATCAAAGCTGAGTGTGGTCTAGCGTTTTTCTGATGGAAGATCAGTTTTGGTCGTTTTTTTTCGATTGCTTGCTTCAGCCTCATCAGTTGTTGACAGTAATATGTAGAATCAGGCTGGAGCAGCTCATAGTGGATGATCCCTTTCCAATGCTACCAAACACTCAGCATAACCTTTCGAGGCGTCAATCCTGGCTTGAACCATGATCTTTTTCGTACATTATTGTCGTATTTCCACTTATCCACTTATATTCCATTATATCCACTTTTCGTCTCCTGTTACCATTCGCTTCAGAATGGTTCGATTTCATTTCGTTTCAGAATGAAAAGAATTGTAGATATTATACAAAAAATTCGAAATATAGCGAATTTCTTCATTATTTTCACTCATTTTTGAACAGCTGTAACTTTTTCTCAACTTCCCGAATTCAATTTTTGTTTTGGCTAACTGAAGCTTAAAATCTCACCTTTCCAACACTATATGGTATGACACAATGTGATTGGTAGATACATACGACTGCAACGACATCTATTGACAAATTACGAAAAGACTTTTTTGACTACCCAATAGGTGCGGCAAAAATTAAATTGCGTGCGATTAGATGTTACGGTATGTAATCTTAAAAATTATTCAAATTGTCAGCCGCCGATATACACCTGTGTGCGATAAGGATGTAATACAAATTTTATGAGCCCTTCAATAAAAATGCAACAGCATTTGGAATGAGTAGACACAAATTTGTTAACACACTTACGTATTTGCACAGCTACATACATACAGAGTGTAAACAACTGTCAAGAGACAACTCAAATAGGTATACCACATGCCTTACTCAATTAATCTCTATCATAAATACTAAAAGTCAATAACTTGATAAGATATGCATGCTTAGAACCGTTTTTCAAATGTCTGGTTAGTAGTCATCTGCCAGTTAACTTCCGGTTAACTTAATCAATACTCCTTTTCTTCGGTAAAGAGCATTGAGAAAACGGCGCTAAGAAGCTATACGAAGTCGAACGTTAGCGCACTTTGACCTGCTTTAAAATGAATATCACAAAAGTTAACTGATAACTACTACAGTGCGTCTGTAATAAAAACTGCCGTCAATCTATAAAATCTTGATGGCACCTACATACCCCAATGACGGTTAGAAAGGCATGCATTGCGGTGTCTTGGAAGTTTAGACTGCGTCCCAAGACTGTGAAGTAGAGGCCAACTAGTGCGATTAAAATGTGATTGATAGTGTTGAGGAGACTTTGCAACTGCAGCCAAATCGAGTGGAACGCGCTTCCCGACGCTTTAGTTTTTGCAGTCATTTTAGACTTTTATGTTTCACAAATGCGTAAAAAAATTCACTTTATGCTAGCACTTTTAAGTAAAAAAGTTAATTCATCAAAATTAATTTGTCGTGTCAAATATTTGTTTTTCGTCAGCAGTTTACTATAGTTAATTCTGATGTGATCTGTGTTTTGAGTGTAACTAACGTGTCTCTTGCGAAATGTCTAAGTATATTCAATCTACACTTGTGCTTGCCTACTGCTCAGCTGATTGGATGTAGGGTAAAGTGGTGGAGCACGCAAAGGGTTGGGTATATTATCAAGAGCGCCAGAGCGAATAAAACTAAAAAACCCACGTCAAAGCATAATGCATGCCTACCCTATAGGGAGAGCGTGAACTGGTGTAAAATGAACTAGTAAGAGCATTGATTAAATTTGTGGCCTTTAGCAAGTAAGAAAAGACCGATAAGTTCACTGTAGCACTAATATTTAATTTCCTTTTTATTTGGTCTCAGTTATGGGCTATTAAGCAAACGTCAGTTGCTAATACTGTATGCGTTGTGGCAAAAAATTAACGGTATTGTAAAGAAAACGCAAAATATTTAATTATCAACAATATTTTTTTGTTTTGGATGTCTTTCAGCTCCTTCAGCGAGTTTTGTTTTATTTCGATCGACTGAAAACGCGTTTCACGGAGCGACAATTTCAGTTTGGGAAACAAGAAAAAAGCACACGTATCCACGAAATCTGGTTCATCGATGGTAATTATTACCTTATTGGCACTAAATGCGTTCCATACCCAAAATAGCCACCAAAACCTTTCGAACGGGCTCGTGAGAGATGTCGAGCTCATTTGTCATCGTCTTAATACTTGCCTGATGGTTTTCAGCTACCATATCCTTCACTTTTTTAATATTTTCATCAGTTTAAGATCTCCCGACCATATATTTAGGCTTTGTAGATCAGCCATAGGCTTGTGTTTTTGAAGCACCGTAAGCCTTTTTAATGATACTTTATACGAAATTTAGTTAGATATACATATTTATCCATTGTAAAAATCACAACGTACTACTGGGGTGCACCGACTATCGATCTGAAATTTTTCACTCGTAATTTTCTGCTCCAAAAAGCTGATGATTTGTCAGAATAGCAAAATCGGACCTCTATATTATATAGCTGATATACAAATTGAACGATCGGATTCAAGTGCTTGTATGGAAAACTAGTTCATTTCACGAGATATGTGCATCAAATTTGGTATAGGCTATTGTCCCAAGTGTATTATATTAATAGCTTAACTTAAATTTTTTTCTCGCTTTCTTTTACGTTCTTATTGCTCGAGGTTTCACACATGCCTAGACACCGCATTGTCATGTGTCGAAGTTGACGCAAGTTAGGAAAATTCTTTGAGCACCATTCACTTGGCAGTGGGCAGGAACGATTTATGTACATATGATTCAAGCAGCTGACGATTTCCGGTCTTAGACCAAGTATCCTCTGGGTAGCCGAAGAACATCCGTTTGAAGGAGAGCTGTGAAAGAGAGTGAGTAGGCGAGCTATTTCTCCTAAAGGTTGTGCGCTGGGACCCGCCATTTTTTGAGTTCACACTTCGGATCTTTATATAAACCTTTCCTGTTGTTTGCTTCTGCGTCGATACAGAAATTAATTAAATTAATGGTGTGGCACTTCTCTTTGTACCATATTTCTTGCTGGGGTTAACTATGTATGTATATGTATGAATTAATGCCGGCATTCAAAGTGTGAGCTTACGGGTTGCCAACTCTTGCTATTTGAGTTTAATTGGTTTCACTTTCTGTTTCAGAAGTATAGTCAAATATTTGAATAATATAATGTGGCATGTCAAGGGGACATATTTGAACAAAGTCTTGATACAAAAATGTTGAAAAATCAGCCGTTAAGACCTCACCTCCCTTGGTGTCTCACAAAAAAAGTGTTCTCACCGTGGAAAGCATAACTTATTATTGGTTCATCTGAAATTAAAAAACTAAACATATTCCATTAATATATACATAAATCTCGTTTTTGAACAAAGTAAAAAAAAAAAAAAATTAAAATCTTAATTTTTTCTCAGACTTTCTATAAAAAATTTAATTTTTTCGCCATTTATTTAAAACTAATAAGTTGTAATGAAATAAAAAAAATCCTAATAATGGTATTTTAAAGATGTGTACGCAATTTGAACAAATTCAGAAACTACAATATTACTCGGATCAACTTGAAAATTAGGACAATATTTTAAAGGTATTGTAGAATTTAATAAGACAAGCAAAATAATCGATTTTTTGAAATTTTCAAATCCACCTAACTCCTTAAAGCTATAAAAAACACCAATTCTGAATGATGATTTTTTCAAAATGCATAGTACTAATACCTTTTCTCGAGAATACTTTGCAAATTCTTTAAAATGTTGTACTCATCTTTAAATTTTTAAAGTTGGAACTAAAAAAAAAATAAAAATTTTGTATTGTCACATTTTTTGGGTTATTACTTCCCTAATTTGGAAACTTGCTTACTCAAACGTACGTGGCATCTCTGCTTTGAGAACAGGCAAAAAAATGCACAGACACATCTACATATGCTATTATATTTATGTTACTCGGTCTCGAAAACTCTTCTCCTCTGCTTTTATGACTTTGTTTTATTCTTGCTGTGTACATATGTACATATGCCTCAACACGTTTATGTTTGCCTGTTTATTTTGTTGTTTTTCGTTGAGCTTATGTCAGTCCCAATTATTGAGTTACTCAATTTACGGATAAGGCGCTCAGCCAGAGAACTTAAGATGTTTATACATTCTCTGGTTGAGCAACTCAAAATATCTACGTACATATATATATATGTAAATATATATACATATGTATATCGAAATGTATAATAAAGGGTGTTATCAATTTAATTATGGAAATGAGTCGCAAAAAAGCAACTGACGGTGCATAATTAATTCGACAGCGATTTTATGAAAAAATGTGCAGCCTTCAGAGTTTATTTATTAATAGTCAATAATATGTTGGAGGGCACTTTTACTACTTTAAATTAAAAGGAACCACATATACACGCTAAACGCCTAAAACTATGGAAATATTCCAACTATTTTCCATTCCCCTTTCTCTTGTAGATGAAGATCCCGCCTTTCCTGCTAGCGAACTCAACACACATGGTCCGACTGTGCATGGTTGGCGTAGTGCTCCCGGTAACACCATCACACCACACGATATCGTACTGCGTTTCCACCGACCAGCGAAGATATGTCGAATACAAATATTAGCGCATCAGTTCCATATTCGTAAGTTATTCTATGCTAAAATAATTTTAATAAAAAATTCAACTCCACATACTCCTTTTAATTCTTCCAATCAGCTGAGAAAGTTGAGCTATGGCTGCACTACTCGCCGAAGGGCATACCGAGCACACCATCCTCACAGTGCTTCGATTTCCTCGGCTTTGTCGCACTCTCCGACAACGCGGCCACCAATTACAAGTCACGTGAACTGCAAAGCGTGTCGGTGAATCCGCGACGCGGTACACATCTGAAGTTACGCCTCAGCGGCGCACATCGCAACGACTACAATCCGGACGAACAAGTTGCCCTGATTGCGGTCAACGTTTTGGGCGAAGAGTTGAATAGGAATGTTACCGTCGCAGCAGCAGAAAGTGCTGCGCAAGTAGAGAACGCCGGCGGCAATGGCAACGGCGCTGCTGCTGTGAGCAATGAGCAAAGCAATACCGATGTAGTCGCTCCGACTGGGTCTGCTGCTGAGCCAGCTTTGATTTCCATATGCGATGATTTGCTTTTTTCCATGTATGTCGAGGAGTCCATTGCGGAGATTATACGCGAAATGGAGGAGAAGAAATTGCAGGCGGTCGGCGCAGAACGTTTTGAGTATGCGCGCAAGTTGAAATTATGTATGACAGCGTTGCGCACGGCCGGTGAGCGTTTGGGCCGTTACGCGCTGGCTAAACGTCAGGCGGTGCAACAGGAGGATTTCACTACCGCTAAGCTGCGGAAAGAGCAAATAGAAATGTATAAGTCGGTGGTGTTAAAACACCTGTTGGTCAATGATTTACTGGAAGCGAACGGCTTAAATGCTTCTAATGATTTAGCCAGCGAAGTGTATGCCAGCAAACCGATATTGCCACCTGCGCCGAGTCTGCAAGACGTCGCACAAGCGCTAGCCGAAGCGCACTACCAAACAAGCACAATGAGCCCGAAGAGCGTACAAGACGATCGTTCCTCCCTGGATGGTTGTAGTTCGAGCGGCGGCGGTGGTTGTAGTGGTACTACCAATTCCGCATCAGCTGGTATAGCACAAACTCATGCAAATGATACTCTCTCACTTTCATCAAATGCGAATCTGCGGAAGTCACACGACGACATACCCGTCTCGCCCAAGTTGGGGAAAGGACGTAGTCCCAGTCGGCATAGTTCGCCCATGTCCAGTCGTCAAGGTTCATTGCGCCGTAGAAACAAAAGTGCGCCTCGAAATTCCTATGAAGATTATGAAGAGCGCGCTGTTCCGGCGTTGAGACAGTAAGTTTAACAGTGTTCTAGTGTGTGGTTGTTAAAAGTAAAGAATTTATTTTAGAGTATTGTAGTGGTAGATTACGGAAGTACTCAACTCACATTAATGATAAGACAACCTACCTTGGACTGTGAATACTATATATAGATTAGTTTCGAGGTCCAAAGTGTGTCTGAAATATTGGTCAGCAAATATTTGTCGAGGGAATTACCTTTTTCGCAAAGATTTATTAATAATTGTATAATATAGGAACAATTAGATATTGTAAATGAAAGAATAAAGTCTTTTCCAGTATACATCATAAAAAAGGAGTCTAAATTCTTTTAAAAGTGGTAACATTGTCAAACTTGCCCGCCTTCTGTCCGGCTCGAATTGACGATTATTCCTAAGAAATTATCCAAGTCCGAGTGTCTGTAACTGCAGAACAGCACTAATTCGATCCTTTGTCTAAATTTTTTACAAACAAATCCCCGTATCATCTCATAATTTGTAGTTCATAGAAAATTTTATGCATGATGCTTATTTGATTAAAACTCATTCGATTCATTAGTATATCACTTAGAGTTAGATACCTACAAATAAACATTCCCCATAGTAAAAAAGTTACCCCATAGTCCAACTCGCTGTCGGACATTTTATATATAGGGTTTGTCCGGAAAGTAATAGGACTGTGCCGATTTAAAAAATGCGTCGAAGCAACGCTGCCAGCGCGATTTCCAAGTAATGAAAGGATCACGGAATGGAATAGTATTGAGAGCCGAGGTGCATGCTGCTTGGATCCCCTTTGTCGTCTCAACATGCTTGCTTTTCATCGGGCTTTTTAGGCAAGGAAACAAAAAATTTCGATGGGTCACAGTTGGGATGCCGGCCTTGGTTAGGTAGCTGTTCACAAGGAAGGCGGTGTGAGCCGGGGCGTTATCGTGGTGCAACTTCCAATCGGCTGCTATATCTTGTCGGACCTGATTGACCCTTCATTTTCGTCTCTTGAGGACTTCCACGTAAAACATTTTCGGCTTTCCCCACTCACAGAAACACGTCGCGCCAAAATGTTTGTCCTGACTCTCCAGGTGTTCGGAGACAACTGACCAGCCGCTCGCTCGTTAGCTAGGAACGCCCTCTACCGAATTCAGTCGGTCCGCGCAGCTCTGAATTATAGTCGTGGCGGAAGAAAATCAGTCCTTTTACTTTCCAGACAAACCCTGTATTTTATTACGTAATAATAGTTTTGTACATATGTATATTGTAGCGTCGTATAAATTATTCTCTAGCGACCTCATAAACATTTCGGTGTACTTTTAGTTGATTTCTGTTCTTTCTTCTTCCTTTCTTTTTATATAAAAATTGTGCATATTCTGTATGAAAAAAAAAAATCCTATATCGGTGTTTGTTGCAATGTACCCATCATATGTATTTGCATTACACTCTCGTACGGTAGTTCAAATACTAATGAATTTTTAAGGGAATGTCAAGGTACTGCTCTACTGGAGGCCGATCCCAATCGCGGACGTTCGCGCTTAAACGATCGCGAACGTCGTCAGGCTGCACTGCCGATACTCGTGTTCGGCAATGATATGGTAAGGACCACATAATAGAATACTTAATTTAAATACCATAACAAAAGAATATCGGTCTCTCTTTTGCAGGTTGAACAATTCTATTCGCGTCAATTTCAGGATCGCGAGGATGGTTTGATTAGTTTGCGTAACTTTCTAAAGGGCGTGGATGCCGAACAGTCGAATACACATGCAAACAATTCGGGCAGCGAGAGTACGGCCGGTCCTAACAAGGTGGCGCGCAGTGCTGCGCTTCTACTCCACCGCGCCGTACGCGACGCTGTCTACTCGGTGTTCAGTCAAGCCACCGAAACTGTACGCGTGCTCTTTCTTGAATATGTGCCTAGACGTGTGTCACAAAGTGAAGTGGCACGTTGCGTCGACCGTTTGCTGCCCGAACTCTTAGCCAAGTCTGGTGATCCATCAGCGCGTATCCACACTTTGGCCCAACACACCATACTTAGTATTGCCGCTTGTCCAGAGGTAATCGAGCAGCATCTGGTGGCGCCAGCGCTTTCACGTAGCGTTAGTTCGGGCACACATCCACGGTTGGCGCTTAGTCGCATGCAAATGCTGGAGCAATTGGTACTCAGTCAAGGCATCGGCACCGATAAGCATAGCGGTTTAACCTGTCGTGCACTTTCCGAGTGCGGTTGCTCGGGTATACATCATCCCGCTGAGCCGGTGCGTAAGGTGGCCGAACGTATTTTATTGCTGGTATATAAAGTGAATCCACGTCTAGTGCGTAAGCAGCTACCACCGGACGATGACATAACCAGACGCAATCTGCTCTATCGTCAATTGTTCACCGAATTTGATAAGTTGGATTTGGAGCGTAAGAAAGAAATGCTAGAAGCAAATAAATACTCCGCACACAATAACAGTGATCCAATAACACCACCACCAAACCGTGGACGCAATGATTTGGAGCACTTGCAGCAAGCCACGGGCAGCGCTGGCGGTAGTAGCTGCGGTGGTGGTCCTGGTAGTGGTAGCGACAGCCGTAGCAGTCCTTATGGTTATATGTATAGCACAAAATCACCGGATCTGCAGTCCAGTCCGATGCGTCGCTCTGAGACGCGCATACTGAAAAGTAAAAGCGGTCATGCGCTGGGCGGCACGAATGGTTACGCGAGTGGTAGCAGTGGCGGAGGTAACGGAGTAAGTAGTGGCAGTACCGGCGGTCTGATAGGCACATTTTCTAACTGCAATGGCAAGCAGCAATACAATGAGCAACTAAAGCGTTCGATGATATCTGCTAGCAACTCTAGAAAAGGATCAAATTCGAACTCGAATTCGGAATCATTGGAAGACCCACCCGATTTGATGTGAGTATTATATAATAAAGATGATATGAACAGGAATGTATAGTGAGAGGCCCCTTGGAGTGCCGTTAAACGAGTATATCTAGAATATAGAACCTATAGATCTTCTGTAAGTATTACGATAAGTCTGTGGTATGATGCATATAGTTTTTCGAACAAGAGTCTCAATTACATATTTATAAAACCACGACACTTCGAGGGTTAAAAAATGGTTTAAGTAAAAATAACCATTACCCTGGATATCTCTTGTAGTATAAATATAGAATTCCTTCAAACTATATGCAATGGCTTTTTTACCCTTTCAGCCACTGCCCGTTTTGCGATTGGTGCTGTAGTAGCAGCGATCAGTCTCAATTGGATCGACACTACTGGAAGTCCTGTCCTTTCCTAACCAAGTGCCCTCAATGCAGCCAAGTACTGGAAGTGGCGGCCTTAAATTATCATCTCACAAGTATGTACTGAAAAACTGTCGAAGCCTGCTCCAAGCTGTCACTCAATGTACTTTTATTTATATGTTATATAGAGGAATGCGAGGCCAAGGATAGCTATGTGATGTGTGACCGCTGCACCGAGTCGGTGCACAAACAGTTGTATGACTTGCATCAAATGGAAGACTATTGCCGCGGTATGCTAGCATTGTGTGAAATTTCAAATTTGTATAGTAGTGAAATATGTTTGGATGTATGTATATTTTATAGAATTGAAGACAGGTGCTGCGCGTTGTCCACTGTGCCACGATGATGTACATCTGCCACTGGATGGTGGCTGGAAGTTACACTTACTTAGCTCTACAGGTTGTCCCGGCAACACTAGACGCCGTGCAAAAAAATCAAACTAACTTTAATGTTTAGCGAATTTTAGTAATAACAAACACATACATACTATGTAGATTACATGAAGTTTAGAAAGCGAATTATTAACTACTCTTTACTGGAAGAGTTGTAGTGCTGACTGCACAATTAAACACACACAAAAACAAAAACAATTTCAAAAGGGTAGGCAACAAAAAAAAAAAAAATTAACAAAGGATAATTTCGAAATTTCGCTTTCAAAGGGATGTACTGAAAGCCTTCATTCATCGGATTTAATAATCGTTAAATGAATTTTGTTATAACTACGCGAAATAAGTGTTTATACCCATACAGGCGCAACTGAGAACGTGTACATAAATATATACGTAAACTTATATTAGGGATTTGTGCAAAGTATGTTAAAAATAATTCTCGAAAGCGTAAAAGACGTTTTTAAAACAACTAAAAAGTTAATTATAACCGCTTTAGTAAGAATGCATATACATACATATTCTATTTGTACAATTTGCAGTTACTTAATGCGTTTTATAATCGAATTTAAACAATGTGTTTTCATAAATCAATATGTATGTATATACCCATAGTATAGTATAGAAAATCCTTTTAATTAAATTATTGTTAATTTATAAAAATATTTTTAAAAATAAGTTTGTTCTGCTTAGTTAAAATGGTAATTGTATTCCTAAGTTGTTAACTTTTATACTAACACAAATTTATATTTTGCTTTTTAAGTGAAACCTATCGAATTTTATAATAAGTTTTATATTGCGTCCAAATGATTAAAAAAACCATCCAAAAAACTACACTACAAAAATACATAAAGCGAAACCTTATACGAATTCAATTTATAGCTTTTAGCTACACAAAACCGATGAAAACATCAATAAAGTATTCATTGAATAAATAAATAAAAATTAATAATTGCTGTTTTATTGCGCACGAAGTATGATATACATTTGTTATAAATTTATTACTAGTTGATTAATTTTTATAATAAATTGCATACATTAGCCATGCGTTGTACCGTAGGCTCAATAAAAATTATTGCTAGAGATATATAGCATGCCAAATATTTAGCATACTAAACCAAATACAGTTACAAAAGCACTGTTCTTGCTATGCTCTTCGTTATTTTGACAGCACTCAAGCGGCATTTGCTCTCTCCACTCAGTTGATTTTAAGCGAAGTGTCAAAAATCGCCGCGTTGCTTGCTGCAGAAAAAAATTGTTTTCCACTCATTTGTTCACGGGTTTTGCGGGCGATCGTGTTCTCGTGTGTTGTATTTTTTTGTGAATTGCACGATTTCGATTTCGCGGTGGGGTATATTACGTACGCATTTTTCTTTTTAATTAGATGAATAAAATTGCCAATAAATCCGGTTTTTTATAACACGAAAACAACTTTGAATTGTGCTAGAGAACGTCTGAATGTAATTCTAAATAATATCGATTAAGAACAAGTGAAATATTGTCGATTTAGATTAGAGAAAAAGCCAACATTCACTACATTGGTTTATGTGTGTGAGCGTTGTATTGTTGCGCTAACCCCTCGTACCTGCTGCTGATTAGCCATCCTCGACGGATTTGTACGCATCTTTACGAACTGCTTGATTATTCCAAGCCACCAATTATTTGTGTGTGTGCGCAAACACAGCTTGTAACAGCAACAATATAAATGGGACGTGTGTTTATAGCTATTCGCAGACATTCCTTTTAATTGAATTTGCTTCAGTTTGAAATTCGTCTCTAATATAGTGCAGATTATATGAATTAACTGAAGCACTAAACGGTTCCGTCAGAGACGTACATCAGAAATACTCTTTTGTAGAGCCTTCCCAGCTTTTTGACCGTGCTGGGACAGATTTGTCCAGCTGTAGTACGTTAGCGAATCATATTTCCCAATCCCAAATCAAGATGACGTTACAAGAGTTATTGAATTACAAATACCTCACAAAGGAACAACTAAATGGCTTTGACAACTACAAAGTAGGTGCCTAACATAACAAATATTGTTGAAATATAAATAATAATTAAATAAATAATTACAGTACAGCGCGCGTGATACCTCACCCCTGAGCGTATATGTAATGCATCCATTCTGGAATTGGACTGTCAAAGTAAGTTGAAATAGCAATAGAAAACCTGTTCAGAACCTTATAAAGAAACTAGCTTAATTGAAATCTGTTATCGCTCAATTTGCGAAAAAATTTAAAAATTTACAAAACTCGATATTCGTCGGTATTGAAAAACAAAAATCAATTTATTAAAGAAACAACTATGGCAGAGGGCAAAGAGTGGCGCGGTAATTAACTGGCGTTAGGAAAATCAATAATCATAAACAAACCGCTTGGCGGACAAAAGCCGTATGTACACAGCTCAATGTCATGTGATTAGAAATTATAATTATAGTGGGAAAGGTGTACTATAACAATACGTTTCAATAAAGAAAGAAAAATAAATTATGCACTTTTAGCTTTAAGTGTATGGATAAATGCTATTAATTCTGTAGGAACACGTAAACAAAATGTTCTTCTAAGTAGATATGTAAACACTACTTCTACTACATTCTTAATATATAATATTAAGTTAATACTAAATTAATGTTTGAGTTTGTAAGAACATGTAATGATTGATACAAAAATAACTGTTTTCATCTTCTTACTATCATTTGCAGTTCTTTCCCCGTTGGCTGGCACCCAACGTTATGACCTTTCTTGGCTTCCTTTGTACGGTTTTAAATCTGTTGCTTCTATCATATTATGATTGGAATTTTTACGCCAGTTCTGGCTTACCGAATACTACTCCCATACCGTCTTGGGTGTGGCTGTGCTGTGCTGTAAATATATTCTTGGCCTACACATTAGACGGCATTGATGGGAAACAAGCACGCCGCATTGGTTTATCTGGCCCGCTGGGTGAACTCTTCGACCACGGTCTCGACTCGTATACTGCAGTGCTGATACCTACATGTCTGTATAGCATTTTTGGACGCAGTTTCGAGTACTCTGTGGCGCCTGTACGCATGTACTACGTATGCTGGATGGTGTTCTTCAATTTTTATGTTTCTCACTGGGAAAAGTATAACACAGGTGTTCTGTATTTACCGTGGGGTTACGATTTGAGCATGTGGGGTTCAACAGCTATGTACCTGTTGACATGGTGGTTCGGCTATCAATTTTGGCAACACACACTACCCATGGGTGTCAAGCTCGGACATTTGATGGAGTTCGTTTTGCACATCAGCGCAATGGCCAATACACCGATGGTGATAATTAATGTGTACAAGTAAGCCATATGTCGTATATATTTTTTGTTTGTATGTTGGTTAACGTATTTTGTGCATTTTATAGCTCATACGTGCAGCGTACGGGCAAAATGCGTTGTTTCAGTGAAGCAATGCGTCCATTATGGCCACTTTTGGTATTCCTTGTTATAATGCTGCTGTGGCCTTTCATCTCGCCGAATGATATCATGGAGAAAGATCCACGTATTATGTTTTTGCTGAGTGGGACAATATTCTCGAATATCAGTGTAAGTATGGGAACAAAATAGTGACGAAGTGTTAAAAATGTTAGCTGAGGCAGTGACGCAGAGTTGTTCCGCTTGAGGCGATTACTTGTTTAGACTCAAATAATTTATATAAAATTCTCGATGATTCATAAATATTTAATTAGTGTTGTATGCGCTAACTTATGATTCGTACAGTTGAAACGTTTACTATTGATTTGTAAAGCCTCAAAATATATATATGTTTTGCATTGCAGTAATACCTTTATCTTATCACAACAATGATAGCAAACACAAATCATGGCAAGTATTTCAAGTGAGCGTAGTAATCGCACACAATACCCTTTCCTTTCAATACGATAGTTCAATATTTTAAACTGTTTCAACCGGTAAATGTGAAATCAAAAATCTAATCTTAAAATACGCGACCTAAATGACACAACAAAATAAGACGTGCTCAATTCCTTGTTTAAATAGTTATATGTGCTCCATTCAGGTAGTGTATATGGACATTTAAATTGCAAATATTTTAAGTTTTATAATAATTGCACGTTTTGTATTAGTTTTGAAATTGCTGATATGTTATCTGCTTCGCGTTGCGACGCTTTAATATTTGTTGAGTCTATTTGAAGTGACTGCTTGTCATATGTTCATTACAAACTAATACAACTGAGTTCATAAAGTAAGCAATTCAAATTAAAACAAAAAAACGTTAATCTCGGCTGCAAAGCTATAATACCCTTCTCAATATTCTAATTAGGCAATAATCCATGACACAGTTTGTAATAATATCTTCTTAAAAATTTTTCTATGACAGCGCTTCACGTTAATCATTTATATGTATAAATTTTATAGGGCATCCGACATGTCCAACTGAGTTACAAACATCGCGGCAAACTATATAAATATTGTCAACTAAAATGCAAAATAACGTAACATCACTTTTCATAAGTTTACAGCGAAGGAAAAACGTTATAATAAAAACCATTCATATTTCAAACAAAGCTATAGTTTTGGTTATAAAATGGTTATGTTTTGGTTATCATACACTTATATTGAAACAAAATTTGAGTTTGTGTTACAAAATGTTACATTTTTTGATGATGCGTTGTTTTACATATTAGTTGACGATATAATTATTACCTGTTCAGGGTATAAATATGTATATATACAATAATATTGAATCATAAATACTGCAGTGCGTTAATTATGGCTTATCTCGTTAACTAGATGACTAAACGAATGATGGAATTTTTTGTTGTAATAGCATTGAAAATGTATATATAACACTTAAGGATAATATTTTTTTTTTGCTACTTTTCAAACCAAACTGATAAGTTCACCATTTGGGCACTTCACAAAATCGATCTTACGTATGTATGTAGGTCGTTAGCAATCTATATTTTAATAATACACATACGTATACGTATGTATAGTAGCAAAATTTCATTTCATTAAATTTTTTCTCTTCTCACCCCCCTTAGTGCCGGCTGATTGTGGCGCAAATGTCGAATACGCGTTGTGATGTGTTTCATTATATGATGCCAATATTCGTGGTCTTCGTGGGCATTGGCTTATGGATACCGCTACTCGAGCGTCTAATGCTCTATGTTCTATTCGTCGCCACCACACTAACACACTGGCATTACGGCACAAATGTGGTGAATGAAATGTGCGAGCATTTCAATCGCATTTGCTTTAGCGTGAATAGGCGAGAACCAGCTGTTCGAAATGCCCAAGATGTACATCTGCGCGACATGGAGAAAACCGACTAAACAATGCAACCAAACCAAAAACAAAGACAAGTGTGCTTATGCAAATGCAAAAATAAATCATTTGAAGTTAGGCAAAAACAAAAGTAACAGGAGGCTCGATACAAACGTTTACCCTTTACTTAATAATTTACCGATAAGAAAGTGTTTTCAAAGCAAGTTTAGCTTTATTGATTGGTCTCGGTAAAGTGCAAGTATGTACATATGTACATTGAAATATATTAATATATATTTTTGCTACATAGCGCTCTCTCGTATTTTTGTGCATTTCCAAACCGTGCAATGAATTCGTGCTAAAACGTGATCTTGAAAAATTTGTCACTAAATAATATGTTTTTGAATACGGCAATGCCATTTATTGTCAATAAAATAAAGATAGTATAGAAGTAGGAGATTTGATGCTAAAAAGCTTGAAGTGAAGTGATTATTTATTACGCAACTGTAATAAAAAGCGTATAATTAATAATTGTAAACAGCCATATAATGTAAACTATTTATTCTAATTCATTATTTCTGTGCGCTCTCGTGCTTATGCGCTGTCGAAGTGAAGTCGGCGCCCAAAATAACCTTTTTACAAAATTTAAAAATTTAATTATATGCCATTGCGCTTTAATTATGTAGCCATTTGTTTTCTTTTTATTTTCTTATTGCTTTCCGCAATATTTTTCGCTCACTTGGCACCGCACATCACTTGCATTATTTCTTCGTTAATTCTTCGCCTCATTTTGCATCACCTTAAGTAACTTATAAGTTTATAGTATTTATTTTGTGTATTATTTTATTGCTAACAAAGTAATTTATTTAAATGAAGTTATCAATTGTTTACCAATAACCGCTTAGACCTCGTAATATTTTTATTTATATAAAAATTAATTTAACGCAAACTTCATAAATTTTATTTTTATAAAACTAAAAGAAATATACATACATGTATACTTATGTATATAGAAAAGTGAAATGTGAATATGTCATGTGTTCGTGAAAATTTTGAACTCGAGCTTTATGATGCATGTTTTAGTTTAGATTTTAGTTAGTTAAAATTAGCTACTTCCGAAAATTGTGTATGTGTGCATAGACGAAACATACGTATGTCTTCTAAAATACAATATAAATAAATAAACTGTATGTTTAAGTAAAACTAGTGTTTTAGACTGAATAAAGCTGTGCGCAACTTTAATGGCGTATAACAAGACATTGAAACTACAAGATATTAAAACTAGGTAAATTTTGGTCAAATATTTAATTCAAATTTCTAAATCGGAAAACTAATTTTTAGTGCGCTGTGCATTACAATTAATTAATTTATTAATTTAACATTTTATTTGTTTAAGTTGATTTGTGTATAAAATTAAATAGAAATACAAAAATATTTTTGTGAGAAAAAGTTTCTACTTCCAAATAAATTAGACAGAAAAAATTAAAAAAATATTAAAATAATTTAAAAATATTAAAGCAATAAAAAAATATTTTCAATATTCAGATATTTTAAATTTTCTAGAAAGGCGGTCATGAGACGCGCTTTTTAACATTTGAAACTTTGTAACATGCAGTGCAAATCCATAAACTCTTTACTAAATGCAATATTGTAACTAAATAAATAGCGAAGACAAACCACAGACAGACACATTGTAATTTAAAAAGACATACCACATAGCTTAATTTCGTTCGGTAACTAGTGTTGAAATGTTAATTATTTATGCAGTATATATGTATACATATGTACACACTATACCTACATATGTATATGTATACTTTTATTTATATATTGTATATAAAAATGTACATGTACAAAAATTAATGAGATTAAAGAAACATACATTGCTGATACAAATGCGTAGTGGTTTGTTATTAATTTCTGCAAAATTGTTGGTCAGAGGTTGGAGAGGAGTTCTGAGGCTATCATTTTAAGCCACTTTTCAGTGGTCAGTAGGAAGTAGCAGTTTGAAGACATCAAAATATGAAACAGCTGCTCTACAAAAATCGTACTTGTAATTATATTAATAATTAAC